TCTGGATTAGGAAGTAGTTCACTGATTCTTCAGAAGGAAGGAATTCCTCCCTGTGAGGGTGGTGAGACACTGGCACAGGTTGCCCAGGGAGGGAGTGGATGATGCTTCAACCCTATCCCTGTTCATTCCAGGTTGGATAAATCCTTGAACAACCTGCTCTGGTGGGAGATGTCCCTGCCCAGGGATGGGATGGGATGGGATGACCTCCAAGGTCCATTCCAACCTAACCCAGTGCAGGATTCTCTAATTCCATGCCAATCCATGCAGAGAGATGTTCCCAAGGAGCTGCACCACCACACTGCCACATTGCATCTATGCCCGCGTTTATTTATACTGAACAGCTTTAAAAATACAGAATAAAATAGCTTTATCTACTATTATTCACAACATCTGGTCCAAATATTACATTTTTAAATATTTAGTTGTTTAATGAAGCAAATGTTAGAAAAAAAAAAACAACCCCCAAACCAAACCCCATGAAATAATAAAAAAGAAAAACTTCGTAAAAGAATTACACATCTTGGAACAACAAAAAAAAGAATAAAATAAAAGAAAAAAAAACCCTTTTCTCCCTCCTCCCCCAGATAAACTCTTGCTGTTTAAAAAAAAAAAATGTTTTACAGCCAAAGTCAGTCACAAAAAGTCATGGGGAAAAAAAAAATTAAAAAATCAAATTATCCCCACTGCCTAAGAACAGTCAATAGTTTGTTACGCCGAAGGTTGTTAGGAACAGACAGACACAGTAAAATTTGAACTGGCAGCAAGATGATTGACCTGGGAAGGTGTGGGAAACACCAGAGCACACAAGGCAGTTTGAGATCCACCTCCACACACAGCCAGAGTGGGACTGGAACGCACTGGGAACACTGGGGGTGGCTCCCAATGGGATCTGAGCGCGGATCCGAGCACAGATCCCACCCCACAGCAGCTCAGCAGGCTCAGGGGCAGCAGCCAAGCCTGGAAATTCGTGGGCTCCCCCAGCCCTGGGAACTCTGCACACCCAGAGAATCCCCCAGGAGAAACACACACTGGTGGGACTCATCCAGCAGAACCAGTGACCCACAGCTCACCCCGAGCACAGCACCCAGACAAAGGGAAAAACAAGTGGCTTTGGGTTGCAAAGGCCACGAGACACAAGGGTGAAGGTTGTGCTGGTCTCACCCATGCATTTCACACACCCAGACAGGTTCTGGTGGGCACAGGGCTGGGAGAATTCCAGGGGGATTCAGGGATGGGGTGGAGACACTGGACACCTGAAGCACGTGTGCCTGGAGTGCTGTTCAGCCCCAAGGGACAGGATTTTCAGCCTGTTTGGGATGCAGAGGTGTAAAGCACAGGTTGTACTCACCAATGCTCCTCAGGGTCTAGGGGAGGATTTTATCCTCAAGTGCCAATTCTGCCTCGGGAGCACCCAGAGCTCAGCAGGGAGCTGAACAACAAACCCCTCTGGATCAGGGGGGGAGGAACACAAACATGGGTAAATAAAGTATACACAACTACTATAGATTCGTCAATGAAGAAATTCTACCATCACATGACATTGTCATGACACTCATACCACTCCCTCCCAGGAAAACCTTCGGCGTCGTCCTGAGTGGAAATGTTATTCTTAATACATGGAAAGAAAATACTGCAATATTCATGTACAAACCAAGTTGTCATATTTCCAGTCAGTATTAAAAGGCATAAAGCAAATTTTTTGGGTTCAAAGTTGGAGCTTTCTGAGTGAGGTACCTGGGGAAGTCCCTCCCATATGACAACGTTAATCAGTTGGAGCTACCAAACCTAAATTTCTACAGGATTAATTTGCAAGTGTTTTGCTTTAGAAAACCTGTTTCAACATGTCAGCAAGAATCCTTAACTGACCCTAAAAAAAAAAATACAAGAGAATATCAATTACAAAAACCCCAAGTGACTTTGTTTGTATACATTGATACCATCTTTGATATGACAAAATGATATTTCTACCATGAATATTTGCCCTTCCCTCTGAAAGTTTGGTGGAAACACCTCGTTGCCTCTTAGCTCACACCCCTCAGGTGTTGTATTCCCTAGGTGGTTTGAGTTTGGCTGGTTGAAAGGCAGGTGAGAACACAGAGAGGAGAACACAGAATTGCATTTAGTCAGGTCTCTCCATCCAGCACCTCCAGCAGAGCAGACACAGCACCATGTGTCCCATTGCTCTTCCAAACTGCAGCTCAGCTGGGCACCCTGGAGCTCCACAGCAGCCCCAAACATGCTGAGAACTCACCAGAAAAGTGCTTGGGGGAGAAGGATTTAAGGTCCCAAATCCCCTGCTGCAGCTGCACAAACCCAGGGAAAAGCCAGTCATCGTCTTCACAAGGAAAATCAATGTGTCTCCTTTGACTGGCAGCACTGGGAGGGTCTCAGGTGCAGCAGGAGGGGAAAAAAACCTTCTCTTCCCAAGGCACTGGTGGTCAGTTCTGTCCTCACTCTGTGCCCTGTGACCTCCAGGTGCTGCCAGTGGCTCCATCCTGACCCTTCCCTGACCATCCCAGCTGCTTCAGCAGGTCTGTCCACACCTGATGCTCACCCTGACCCACTCACCTTCGTGGCAGGATGGAGAGAGCTGTCCCACATGCAATTTGGGCTACAGAAAAGACTAACTACAACTGCTCCTTTGGTGCTCCCGAGGTTGGAGGCTGAACATTGCTGCTCTGCTCTCAGCCAGGCAGGAAGGGGCACGGGAGGACCCAAAGCCACAAAAAGAACTAAATCCAACAGGCAAACAGAGAATTGGACTGCACCTACTGGGAGAGTCGTTCCTACGCCGCAGGAAAGGAGTGGGATCTGCTCCAGGGAGGAGAAAACAGCATCCTTGGATTCACTGCCCTGTCATTTAGCTAATCTCAGCTGAGGCAACACACAACATGCACAGCTTTACCTCAGCCAAGGTGAGAGGAGTTCTCATCACCTCATCTCTCTCTCTCTGAAGGTAACACAGCACAGTGTGGGGAGCAGCTGGAGAAGCTTGGGGATGTGTCCCTGCCCTGTGTGCCCATGGCATCACTGGCCAGGGCAGCTCAGCACCTCTGAGGTGGCTCTGCTGGAAGTCAAAACCTCTCTTCTCCCATTCTTAGCTCTTACAAGATAATCCACTTTGGCATCTGACATCCTGACATCCACCAAGGTGGTACAACCACCACAAGTGGCTTGAGTTTTCCTTCTTAACTCCCCCACGTCTCTCACACATCTTTGGTTGCACATCAGGCTGGGAAATTTGGAAGCTTCGTGCCACTGCTGAGAGGTGTCTGCACTCAAGCTATGTGCAGGTGGACATGGAAAGCTAACATCTCACTAGCTGGAGAGAGAAAAGGTACAAATGAGCCAAAGTGACCTTATTTCACAGGCAAACTCACCTCTCCTAGCACCCCCAGCCCTCCAGCCAGCCTCACGACACCCAGACTGCAAACTACTGAAAGTTCCCTGAAGCAGGAACAAACAACATGCTCTGACATGGAAAAAAAAAAAGCAGAATAAAACAGGTTGTGGAAAGAGCCATGGCATGCTGAGAACGACACCCACGGAATCATTCCGACTCTACACTACTCAGTACTGATCCGTTCGGCTCTTCCCTTGCCCTCCCCACCCCAACCCTTCCATGCTTCAATAACCCAGAACAAATTCACCTGGAAGCAGATTGTGAGAAAACAGAGTTCCTGCCCTCCTGTCCAGTAGTCAGACTTGGATAAATAGCTCAGGGAATGACAGGACCTACTGTTATGGTTTCCCAGGAATACAAAACGCGAGCACCGTAAGAGCATACTGGCCTTGAAAAATTACATTACACAACATTTCCCTGATGATCTCCACAGCTGAAAATGCCTTTTTTTGTTTTGTTTTTTTTTTTTTCGGGGCCACACTGAAGTCTAAAACTAACTTGCAATAGTAAGAACATTAAACAGGAATCAAACTGGTAAGTATGAATGCATGATGAGCGTGAACACCCACAAAACATCAGAGCTGAGACATTCCAGGAGCAAAGGAATCTTGAGTGGTGCCCTGATTGGACCCAATACCCGTGGAACCATCCTGGGGGGGAGGATGGCAGATGTAGTGTCTCTGCTGTTCCAAATCCACTCCCCAGGAGCTGCTGGAGAAGCCCCACCAGGAGAGAGGGAAGAGGCATCAGCTCTTGATATCCCCACAAAAAAATCCTGCCTGGATCCAAGCCAGTGGGTTCCAGGAGCATCTCCATCCCGTGGCTTTCCCTGCATGGATAACTGCTTAAGAAATGCTCAATTAATCAGCATCTTTTTCTCCAGGAAATGTCTTGTTGGATACAGGCATTGCCCTGCAAAAACTGCTACCAGGTCCTGGCTGGAAGTTGAGGTTTCCCATCCCTGGGACACTCCAACTCCATGTGTTCCTGAAGGAAATCCCACACATGGACACTACAGTTCGGGGAGTAAATGCCAGGTAGGAAAAGCAAACGTTTAAAAATGGGAAGTTAAGTGGTTCCTTCTACAGCACTGAGCTAGTAGAAGTCAGTCATGGTTCTCATGGCAAAGTCCTTACAGAAACATCCTGTCTAACACTGGGAAATCATGGACAATCTGAAATAACATAATGATTTGCCAGGACCAACTGAATCCGCTTTCCAGGGCACTAAAAATACAGAATGTGCAAATCAGTGAGTAGAAAACAGTATCTATGGGATTTGACAGGACTAGAAGGAACTATTTTCCCTCTTCTTTTTCACTCTTCTCTCCCAGATTCTGATTTTCTGCTGTAACCAACACTGCCAGCAATGACTGCACCAAAAAGACACCACTGAGGGCTGAAAGAAAGCCACCCCAGAAACCTAAGTGTGTCAGCAGCACCTGCAGAATTCCAGAGCCTAAAGCCATGCAGAACCACAGCCTCAAGACCTCCAACCTGCCCAAACCTTTGCCCCAGAGACACTACATCTGGCTCCCACCACCACACCAGGAACAGCTATTTTTTTATTTTTTTTTTTTGCTTCTTTTAGTTTCAAAATCTGTCTCAGCTCTGGTTCCAGAATTTAAATGCAGATATACAAAACATATATTTTAATGCTTCTTAATCAGCAAGAAACTGCAAATACATCTTTAACTACAACTAGGTAAGGGAATTTCAGCCTAGGCTATACTGCAGCTTCCGAATCTTCGTCTGAACTCCTGCAGCTACTGCTTTTCCTGAAGCCTTTCCATGTGTATCCCAGGAAGGTGGGGCTGATGGGCAGGAAGCTGAAACACCTGTACTTTTTAATGAAGTTCATGCCAAAAGGCAAATCGTATGTTTCCATGCCATCCAGTGATTTGCTTCCTTTACCAACCCCTTTCTTCCATTTCCGTATTCCCCTTTCTTCTGGGCTTCCTGGAAGGCGAAAGAAAAGGAAAATATAGATGGATTCATGGATATCTTTATGCAAACACACAGGGATAAGGTAGAGATTAAGAAAGAAAACCTCAAGGCTCAGACATTACATTCAGCAAAGCTCTGGAAAGATCTTCCAGACTCCTCAAAGGGGCAGGAAGAGGGGAAAACAATATTGCCTGTTCTATTTTGTAACTGGAAGTGAAGGCAAATTCTTATTGAATGAATAAATTGGGATCCTAAAAACATTTTTACTCTGTGTTCTGCAGCCTGCTCTGGTTTGACTCTGATCAGCTCTGCTTGATGTTTAGCAGGATGGAAACCTCAACCTGAACTGGATTCAGGGTGTTCCCAGGGCAGTAAGAACTCTGCTCCAGGTGCTGAAGGAAGTCAACACCACAAGCACTCTTCCTCCTCTCCTGCCTCTGTGCAGTGCTGCTATCCCTTCAGGAAGGCAGTGGTGAGATGAATGCTGAGCTCAGGGCTGACCTGGGATGGTGTTGTCCAAGATGAAGGCGACGCAGCCCCCGACGAACATCGCGGTCGTGAGGAGAACGTTGAGCACCTGATCAATTCCTGCTATTCCTGCCACAACAGGGAGAAAGGAGGGAGAACTTCCATCTTTACCATGCACAGACACATCCTACTCATTTACAGGTCAACCAGGAAAACTTGTGGCTGAGTTCAGTGAGGGATTTGCCCAAATAGGACTCGGAAACCACATGGGAATTGATGCAGAAGAACCTTCACCCCTTGCAGTGCCCCATGGGACCTCTTCTGCCCCAAAACACAACTTCCAGCAGCTTAGAAATGCCATGAAACCCCATTTTAGTTCCCACAGCAGACACAGCTGATGTAAACCAAACAGAACACTACAAACAGCAAAGTGGAAATGTTCACAGTGGAAAATTGTGTGGCCTGAAATAATCCTTTTAATAAATCTTTAAAGGGCAAAACTTCATGGTGCCAGTACAGGTAGAACTGTGTTAATGCCTCACCTAACTCTGCCTGAGTGATCTGCTCTTCTGAGGAGGATATCTCAAGGAGGACAGATATGCCCTTAAATCTGGGTCTGAAGCAACAGCTGGAAAATGTCAGTGAATATTTTCTTTAAAACACCCAAACCAACCCACACCAGTGAAGTATTCCTTTAGAGTCCATCTCTGCTGACACTGCTGAGAGGGGAACAGTAAAACACAAACCATCCTCTTCTTTTAGTACCACTCACAACTTGGATTCAACCCTTTAGTCTTTCTTCCAGCCCAGCTGGTAGTTCCCTCTTTCCACTGCTCTGTGGAAGTATCCAGAGAAAGCAGGACCATGTCAGCTGCATCCCACTCCACTCAGGTCTCAGCATCCTAATTAACTCTTCTCTGAACACATACAGAGCTCATCTACACCTACAGCTTTGATCGTCTCCCTAACACTTTGGGTTTTCTCTTACTGACCCTTTACAACCCTTTGTAGGTACTTTGTGTAAGAGTGAGGTTTGTGTAAAGGAGCAGGAACACATACCTGTGACCAGGGGGTTCTGTTTGAGATAGCTTGGAAGGACGAGTCCAAAGAAAATGGAAAATCCAAGCACAAAGAGATTCCGAGAAGAATTCAGATCGATGAACTGGAGGTTGGACAGACCCACGGCCGTAATCATCCCTAGACAAAACAACACCCTTTAGATGGTCTTCTCTTCAGCCAAAGCTAGCAAAACACACATAAACCCAAGGAGAGAGGAGCAGAGAGAGGAGCAAACCCCTCGAGTTACCAAAGAGGGTGCAGAACAGAGCTCCCAGCACGGGGTCGGGCAGCGACGCGAAGAGAGCGCTGAACTTGCCGACCATCCCCAGCAGCAGCATGAAGGCTGCTCCATACTGGATCACCCTGCGGCTCCCAACCTGCAGAGAGCAAGGAGAACACCCTGGGTCAATCTGTACTCAGTGCAGCCTCACACTTTGCATTTTGTTTGACTGTTCCCTTTGGCTTTGTTACTCCTCTCCCAGCCCCCGTGCGTGAAAAGGCTGTGGAACCTTCTGGAGGGGCTGGAAGGGCTCAGCAGTGATGTAGCTGCACTCCAGCCCCACAGAACCTCCTCTGGCTTTGCTTCTGGTAACATAAAGTCTTTTTCAGACCCAACTGGTACAGCCAAACACCCACGAGACACAGTGCAGGCCTAGCTACGAGGATGGAAGTAAAGACACTCATCACACCTAAGAGAGATGACACATGGAAAGGAAAATCAACCCCACATCTTGCTGCCCTTGGATAGAAGCAATAGTTACTCCCCACACAGCTCGTGTGAAGGAGATGCAGATTTTCCAGGCTGAGATTAGGGACTGGTTTGTAACAGCCCTCAGAGAGCAGAGCTGAGGGTGCTGCCCATGCAAAACAGGGCTGTGCTTGCACTGAAACCAAGGGCCTGACTTCCTTCCCACTTTTATTTTAGGCACCCAAACTTCAGGCAGTGCTAGTTGATAGTTTAATACTGTTGTATTACAATTAGAGGTGCCCCAGGGACCAAAAAAAAAAAACCCTTTTAATGCTGGTAAGGTAGTTTTCAGCAAAGCCCTTTGCAGGTCTCCTGTTACAGATGATTGAGCTTCAAAGTGAAGGAGATGTTCATTTGCTGATGATGTGTGACTGAGCTAAGGGGTGGAAAGAGAAGCAAGAGATGCACTAGGCAGGTTTAGGGGCCAAGTCTCTCTCCCCCCACACTCCCCAGTGCTGAGCTGGCAGGGGAGATGGTTCACCTGCCAACAGAAGCTGCACCACTAAATTGGGTTGTTCACTACAATCACAGCAGAGTTTAGCTTGGCTCTTTTCTCCACGTTACAAAAGGATATTCATTTCCTTAGAGGCACTGATACCTTGCTCTAGAATTCTCTTCCTGCACCAAACAGGCAAATTCCTTAACAACCCACCTGATGGCAACACTTAGATATGCAAATGCTCAATCACTGCAAGGCAAACAAATTAAGCTCCTTTGGAAAGCTCCTGAAAACATCCTGGGCAGCACTTAGCTCAAACTGCAATATTTATTCCCAGCACACATATTTGGTGTGACTGTTTTGGGAATTCACTGCAGAACCCATTTCAGCAGCATGATGGCATGAGCTGCCCAGGCTTCAGCCCCAGCTCTCAGAGCTGATTCCTCTTCCTCTCATCAAACAGAGCTCCCAGCCTAGCTCAGAGGCTCTGCAGTGTCCACCTCCAGCTGAAGGCTCAAATTTAAACCCTAAGTATAATCAGGCACCAGTTTCAAGGATGCCCAAAGGTGCAATGGGATCACCAGGGCAATGCAGCACTAAAGATTTCCTCTCCCAAATAAACAGCAAAGTATCTACAGGCCAAAAGTCTATTTGGCTAGAAACTGAAGTTGAAAAGCTGCAAGTTTTATAGGAATGAGACTGCAGAGAGGAAAAGAAGGGAAACCAGTGGAGCAGAGCCATCCAGCTGTGCCACTCTGGGTAAGGCACAGTCACTCCTCCATCACATGCTCTGAGCAGACAACTGTGGGCAGCTCTGCTCTCTGCTCCAGCTGCCAGTTCAGCACCCATTTCTCACTGCTCCAAGGCAAAATGCACACTCATTTCTGTGGGCTGGTAATAAAAGAGCACTGTTAATTCACATCAACTCCAACAGAAAGGAAGCAGGACAGAATAAACCTTTCTTTAGGGATTTTTCTTCCAGGGAGTCTCCATCAGCAGCTGCATGGCAGACTGGTACAGACAGCAGATGGTGCTGTTAGTATGACATTCCACCTTAAAGCCCAACAGAATCCTCTTTGTGCAGCAGAAGAAATGGCTGAAGACAAATATATCCTTTATGCTGGATTAGGTCAGAGGGATGAGCTATTGGAAATGGAGAGTACACACTTTGCATCTCGTTTGCATGAAGGATTTATGAGCTCCATGCAAAAAAAACTCCCAAAAAACACAACAAGATGTACCTATTTACCACATAAATTACTCCTACTGATGTTGCTGATATTTCTTTACAAGGTTGAACTAACCAAGCCAAGGCCTCCCAGTTCAGGGCACTCAGGCACAGCTCCAGCCTCTCGTGTGAACAAAGGGATTCCTCAGGCACTTACACATCTCACTGAGTAACACCACAGAAAAATGTGATCCCCTAAGCAGCCTCAGTGCCCTAAAACCCTGTCAGGACAGAACCAAGGATTTAGGCCCCATCTAACTCTGCAGTTACCTTGACTGTCAGCGTAACATCCTAGGACAGATGTAAAGCCCAAGGACCTCAGGCTGCATTTCATTCTGTGTTCCAGTGAGACAGTTCTCCAGTGATGCTTTCAGAGCCAAAACATCCAAAAAGCACAAATTTCTACAGAGTTTGCAGTGGTTATGCCTCTCTCAAACCACCCTAGAGCCCTGGGATGGGTGTTTGGGTTTCCAAGCAACAGTTGATTCAGCAGCATCTGCTTTATGGAGGTTCTAACTGCCTTTTCCTCCCCAAGCAAAGAGTTTCCAGGTCCTGATGGAGAGTAATGCACTTCCCTCAGACAACAGCTGATACAGTCAGGTACACTCAGAGTGATCTGTAAGTCTGTCTGCATGAGGTTCTAGGCAATAAGGTTTCCTGGCAGAGGATCATGCTGTGAAACATGAACATAAGTCACACACCTGAGGAGATAAAACCCTCAGGTTGCTGAGAGCTCAAGGCACATACCTTTGTGATGCCCAAGACACCAATGTTAGGGCTGGAAGAAGTGGATCCATTCCCTGTCCCAAATACTCCATCCAGAACACAGGAGAGACCCTCAATAAAAATCCCTCTGGAAAACAAAGAGACAAAGAGTCAAACCTGTATGACACAGACTCCCTCAGAGGGTGTTTTATGGCTCACTCCAGCTGGGACTTGCTACAGGGCATCTGCCCCACAGGAATTATTCATGTTTCAAGCTCCAACAAACCTGGAAAACCCATCTGAGTGCTGTTTTCTGAGCCTTAGACACCACGTTTTAAACTGAGGAGCTTACAAAATAGTTCAGGTCAAACTCAAGAGCTGCTGTTTCTTTCTAAACTGCATTTCTGACCAGTCATCCCAATTCCAGACCCAATTTAGAGTTCTGTGCCTATGGAAACTGTGCTGTTAACTTTCACAGACTCCAGCAGGAACAGGACTGGGATTCCATTTGCAACAAAATAATTCATCCTGACAGTTGTTTCTTAGATTTCAGATCCTTGGCCTTTGGCTTTGACCAAACTGCAACATTTCATCTCACAGCACATTCCTGTCTTATCCCAAGGAAAGAAAGTAAAAAAAAAACCAAGTTGCTTTAGGCACTGAAAAATGTTTCTTTTTTGGACAAACCTGTTTATTGCATGAATAGGTGGAGGAGGAGCACAAGACAACCTGGCACAGGCATAGTAATCTCCTATGGACTCAATGATGCTGGCAACAACCGCGCTCAGCATTCCGATCACTCCAGCAGCAGAAATTGTTGGCAGTCCCCACTGAACTGTGAAGAGAAGAAAACTGAAGTCTCTCCTGTCACAGAAAACAATTCAGATACCAAAACATATTGCAAGTTCATAGAATCATTTGGGTTGGAAGGGACCACTAAGATCACGGAGTCCAACTCTTCCCCCAGCACTGCCAAGGCCACACTAATCACATCCCCAAGTGCTGTTAAACCTCCCCAGGGATGGTCACCCCTGTGCCAGGGCTGGACAGCCCTTTCCATGAAGGAATTGTCCCAAGATCCAACTTAAACCTCTTGGCACAACTTGGAATTGTCCCAAAATCCAACTTAAACCTCTTGGCACAACTTGAGGCTGTTTCCTCTTGTCCTGTCACTTGTTCCTGGAGTGTTGTATGGAGCTGTAGAGAGTGAGAAGGTTCCCCCTGAGCCTCCTTTTCTCCAGGCTGAGCCCCCACAGCTTCCTCAGTTGTTCCTGCTGCTCCAGCTCCTTCCCCAGCTCCATTCCCATCTCTGGATATGCTCCAGCACCTCAATGTCTTGTCCTGAGGGGCACAGAGCTGACCCAGGATTGGTGGTGCCCCAGCAGTGCCAGCACAGGGGACAATCACTGCCCTAGTCCTGCTGCCACACTATTTCTTCATCTGGAGTGGAAACAACAAACTCTCTTCACAGTAACACAGTCTGGCAAGTTCAAATAGATGAAAGGAGCAAAGAAATAACCACAAACCAACTGCTTTGATCACGCTTGGAAAAATCTCAAAGAACAACCAAACCCCTCCAAAGAATTCCTCCTGTTCAGGAGGCAGAATTGGAGCTACTGCTCGTGAGAAAACAATCCTGGTCGGTGAGGCAAAGGCCACTCAAAGATTATTGCTCCATGAATTCAGTCTCTGGTTACAAGTTTAGGCTATCAAGGAGGATGGCCAAACCCAGCTCTGATCACCATACAAACACCTCCCACTCCCAAATTTCTGTAGCAATGAAAGCAAGATTAATTTAAGCCTGCAGAAAAGCTTGGCAGGTTTTCCACAGCAATTGCCTTGCTGCTTTTCTCTCTTTGAAATAGATAAGCCTCCTGCAACAAAAGGAATCTGAAGCCACACAGGAGTGAATGAACGAGGCTTGAAAACACGAAAGGTCTAATCAGTGTGGAGAAGTTTTCCTCCTCTTCTTTCCCAAAAGCTTCTATTCTTCATCTTCTGCTTTAGAAGTGGTTTCTTTTAAGAACTAAGCAGAACCAAAGCATATGGAAAATCACAGTGAAGCTTCCCCATGACAATGGAGTGGTGTTCCAATAGTTTGTATCACCCTCACCCCTTATTACCCTGCTCATTTCTGAGCAGCTCAAGGCTGAGCCAGTTGTGCAACTCATCTCGTGCCATAAAAACAGCCTTTAACAGCCTCAAACGTCAGGGTGGGCAGCAAAGGGATGCAAAATGTTGTATAAAGTGCTTTGTGTTCTCTTGTAAATACTTTTATGGCCCATTGATAAGCATGGACTGGCATTCCCTGACTTGCCCATCGGCCCAATTCCAACGTCGCTTCGGCAAGTCAGGACAGTTCCACGTCTTTAAACAGTTGTGCCAGCTCAGGAATGGGTGTGTTTGGGGCAGGGAAGTAGCTGGCACAAACCTCCACACCACAGTGATTTTTAGGCAATGAACATCACTGATTTTCTGTGGGACTTGCAATGACCCATCCTTGTTATGGTATAACTTTACTGCCAAGGATAGATAAAACCATAATTCACTGAAAATCCAGGTTAGATGCACAGTCATGATGGCAGTAGAAGTCAGGAATTGGCTGGATAAACCCTGCAAGTGTCTTCTACAAATTCAAGTTTCAGAAATTTGGTCTTTTTTTTGGGGGGAGATCTTAAGGTATCAATTCAAGAGGAAAACAAGAAAAAACCATCATCGCCATTCCTGATGTTGTTTGATTGGTGCATGTTAGAATCAAAGAATGGGCTGGGCTGGAAGGAACCTTAAAGGGACTCAATCCCCTGCCAGGGGACACCTTCCATTAGCCCAGATTGCTCCAAGTCCCATCCAACCTGGCTTGGAACACTCCTAGGGATGGAGTAGCCACAACAGAATGTATCACCATGAGAAGAGCAGCGACACTTGTGAAACACCAGAAGTGACACTCACAGGCACATTGTGGAGAGGGCAGCTCTGCCAACAGACCTACTTACAAGGGTAGGGAACCTTGAACCACGGAGCCACCAGCAGCACTCCCCTCCGCGCGTCGGTGCGCGCGTAGAACCCGTACTTGGAGCTGTCGGGGGGGAACACGTCCGTCACGGTGAAGATGAAGCAGAGCAACCACGAGACCAAAATAGCTAAAATAATCTGGGAGGGAGGAGAAGAGAAAGCTGGTGAAATGAACTCTCAGTGGCAACATTCATCACCAATAAACATGGAGTATCTGCTCGGCAATCTGAGCGTGATCTTAA